ATGATTCTATGATTCTATGATTCTTCCAGCTTCATAAGCATGTCTGTATATTTACACTACCTAGTAGTTGGGCAAATATTTTAAGGTTTTGTATTACCCTGAAACCTCTTTAGCATCTGCACTGGGGAGAACAACCTTGAGAAGAGCAAAGTTTGAAAGTGGTAAAACACTTCTCTACAGAAAAACGTGAACTGAGGGTTCAGTAAGAAGGTGATCTTTCTCCACCTTCCCAAAACCATAATTGGTGCCCTGTAGATGATAAAAAAGTAAGCAAATTCATGAAAAACCTCAATATGCAAATTGGTTTGGGTCTGAGCACGTGCAGGAGGTCACAGCAGTACAGATAAAGGGCTTTGAAAGGACACTTAATGAAACAAAATAGATTGCAGGGGAAATGTCATTCCCTACAGGGCCAACAGAAGTCCATCGCAAACAAGCAAATGTCTGAGAAATTTGTACTGCAAGGAAGAACTGGGATTTTGAAAGAAAATGCCAAATTGAATATTTTTCAGTATTGCTGTATTAGTATACTGAAGTCTTAAAAGTAACTTTTTGGCCTGATTACTGAACAGAAATGAGTTTGGGCTGATATATGACTCTAAGGAATGTACATGGGATATATCATTGTCAGCTGTGACACTGATTCTGTGATTCAGCTATCAGTGTCGTGACGTGTTGAATTGAGAAACCTCTTCTGCTAGAAACATTAAGTACTCTTGGACCCTAAAACTAAGCTGAAAACTCTTGTCGTCTTGATGTTTGTTCTGCTGCTTGCAGAATGTTGCTGACAATCTCTCTGACAGTTACTTAGCAGAGAGCAGCTTTTCAAGGCTTGAAACTGTTAAAGATATATTTTTGCTCAACATTTTGTTCAGAATGTCCCAGGAACACCTGTCAGGAGTAGCCATGCTAGAGAGCACGTGAGAACAGATCACTGGATCCCAGGCTGATAACCGACTTCTTTGTAGCATTGGTTTTTGGGGTTTTTTTTAATGTTTTTGAATCTCCTGGGATGGTGTGATTAGTTTTTTATATTATGCAGGTTTTTTCTACCATAGGGCAGCCAGTTTTGTTTGGTTTTGGTATTTAGGGTTTGGGGGGGGGGCTGTTTTGTTTTGTTTTTTTTTTTTTAAATTTAGCTAACAAAACCAGATTTGTTTTAATTCTACTCTGTGAGGGCAGGAGGAAATGAGGGGTTACAGAGCAAGAAAAATACAATTGAACAGGCATAAGGGAGTGCCTTGCTCCTGTAAATAACTTTTGGTGCAGGAAAATGCAATGTTCAAAAAGATTTCCTGAAGTTAGAAGATTATTAGAAATAGATTTGCAACTGCATTAATTTTGGATGGTTTACATGGAGAGGTTTGATTAGTTTGCCAAAGTGATTCCTGAAGTGGGGTCCTACATATCGAGCTTATCTGTAGGACCAACTCTGGTTTTAATAGCAGGTTTCGTCTACAGACTGTGAACAACATTTGTATATTTATATAAACTTTTCCCTCTCTAAGTCTGCACTAATAGTAGACTTTGTAATCTGATTACTGAAAGGAATTGTCCAGAATATCTAAAATTGTTGTAGATCTCCTTTGAGACTTAAAATTAAGGGACATTAGGTGGAAAACTTTTTTAAGATATAGAGGAATCGTAAACTTCACAGCTTTACTGTGAGGAAAAGGTCAAAGTTGGCTTTCTCACTAGATGTATTAGGAATAATTTGTGTATTTTTGCAGGCTTTATTATAGCTTTTATTTTTGATGGGTGTTCAGAGTTCTGTGGGATGTTGTGTAGAGTACATAGTATTTATTTCGAGATACCAGTCACTGACTTGATTCAGGTTATAAAAGGTAATAGTTTGTTTTACCATTTGGGTTTCAAATATGAAATACTTTGGAATTTGGAATAGCATTTGTAGTACAGGTAATTAGGTGAAGTGAAAGGCAGAACCTTCATCTTCGTCTTTGCAGGAGTCACGTTCAGAAGAAGTGAAGATCAAATTGTCAGCCAGCTGTTCTCCATAAATGCCTGCTTTTCCTAGGGCTGGTATAGATAGCTTTGCCTTTCCATCACAAAGAAATATTTTATACTCCAAATACCTACTGAGGTGTGCATCCACATGATAAGTCACAGACATCTTGACAAGCCACAACACCTACAAACTTGGAATAAAACATTTCTAAAGAACCAGGTAGGGCTGTGCCCATGTGGACCTCATTTGGTACCAACAGCACCCAGTGTATTGTGGACCTGAATGGGGAGGTACACACCATGCATCCTCAGGCCTATCAGAGGACCCTTGCTGGAAGCCCAGATACTTTTCCACATAAACTGAGAATGATGGAGCACAAGGGGAGGGAGCCACAAGCCGGGCTGCTCAGAAGCTTGCACACTCCATATCATGGAAGTGCCCAGCAGCACAGAACAGCTACCTGGGTTCCCTTATCTGAATTTCAGATCCACAAATCACATTAAAAAACTCCAGAAGTTGTTATTGCTGCCGCTTAAACTTCCCAAAGCCAGCCGTCATGGATGGTTGGTAGGAGGTGAAAAAACCCACACAGCAGTTGTTAAATTCACCATATGGAAAAGATCCCTTTCACTACAGAAAACTGGCAGTAGGCCTAGTCCCTTAACATCGGAGGAAATCCTAGCAGAAAAGGGAGGATGAGGTTGGAATAAGGCACTCATACTGGTTCCCTCGCACAGGAACTAAACCACTTGGCCCTAGCCAGCGTGGAGTGCAAGAATGGCCAAGACTCCTCAATTTCCAATGACTACTGTGCTGGGAAGAAAGGAAGAGGCCTTGGAACATGGAGCATATGATGACCTTCCCTTTTTCCCTTCATCCTTCACCACAATGAAAAGGGAGGATGAAAAACAGTATAGAAAGATGCTTCCTAGAAAAGAGAGAGAAGAGAGCTGACATGAAAGAAGAGCAGACACATTATCAGTGTACCTCCGCCTGTTCCAGGGGAGCTTCCACTCTCCCCCATCCTGAGGGTGTCCCGGTTCAGCTCTTCATGAGCCAGCAGAATGCAGTTTCCTCTGTGCAATCTAAGGAGGAATTCAAAAGAACTCTGATTTACACGGTGGATTTACACCAGAAGTGCCCGTCCATTTCTGTAGGCACAGCAGTTTCTATTTGTAAGAGTAAGTGAACAAAACCAGAGGCTAGTAACAGAAATGTTGATGTATTGAGTCTTTGAGATCACATTTTCTTATAAAGAAGAAAGTTTTCTGGGAAAGTCTCTTCCACAAGGCATAAAAAATGCTCAAGCCTCATGTGACCTAAATATTAATAGAGATGGGACTGAGCTACAAAATACAGTGCTGTGAATTTTCACTTCTGGAGGCTTAGGTGTTAGTAAATAAAAATGAGAAAATACAGGAAAATTCTCATCTATCATCAGCATTTTTTGATAGTAGTGTTGGCTATAGCAGATCTGCTTGCAGCTTGAAAAGTAGCAGAGAATTGGCATGTGGTCAATGTAACACCTCTTTTCTAGGAGAGATCTGGGGAACTACAGACCTTAAATCCTTGTATGCAAATTGGTAGAAGCTCTTCTAAAAAAAAAAAAAATTAGTAAAAAGGAAAAAAAAAAAAACAACGAACAAAAAGAGTAAAGAAACCCCTTGTGTAGTATGGCATGCCTTACAAAATGTTCCTTGAAGACATCAAGAGAGACTCAGCTGATAAAGTGAGCTTGGGTTTCCGAAAGCATTTGATAGGGTACCTCACTGAAGGATTTGAAAGAAATTAAGTCGCCATAAGATTAGAGGGAAGAAACCCACATGAATAAATAACTAGTTAAACATAGGAAACAATGTTAAGCAGTAAATACTCAATTTTCATAGTGGATAGAGAGCTCCAAAAAAATTCCTTAGGGATCTGTGCTGTGTTCTGTGCTATTTAAAATGTTTATCTGGAAAAGAGAGAGAATTTCAAGAATATAAACTTTGCTGGTAATGGTAAGTATTGTAGGGAGATAAAGATGAGAGCTGACTATAAAGGGTTGTGAAGGATCTTGCATTACTGAGTGACTGGCCAATGAACTGCCAGATAAAATTAAATGAAGATAAATGTAGTATGCACATGGGATAAAACAGCACTAAATTTATATATACAGTGGTTGATTCTAAGCTAACCATACTAGGGTTACAGTAGAAAGCATCATGAAAATCTCAGCTTAATGCTGAACAGCATTGAAATAAAGCTTATCAAACACAGAATTTTGGAAGAGAGAACAAAGCAAAACCCATCATTATGCCAGCGTATTGATTCTTTTTTTTTGCACATTTTGAATACACTGTGCAGTTCAGATTTTTCTGTCTCAGCAAGGGTGCAGCTGGATTGGAACCAGAAGGGTGATAGGTGGAAACGAGCAGTTGGAGACACTTTACCACATGCCACTGTGGCTGTGGAGCTCATTCTCACAGGGCATTGCTGGTGCCAGAGATACATACAGGTTGAGAAAGAACCGACTGGAAAAATTATTTGGAGAAGGCTATGGGAGTTCCTGTGCCACAGATTTCTTAAATGCTGGGAGAGTTTTCTAGGGAACCGTTACTGTAAGCCCTAGAGAGCTGCTGCTGGTGCGTGCCGGAAAAGGGGTACTGAGCTACGTAACCCATTCCTACAGGTTTACACATGTCGATGCACAAAGAAGAGCTGTTAGATTTGTACCCAGGATCGGAAACCCTCTCCTGCCTCCCAGTCCTGTCTCAACCTTTGGACCATTGTGCCTGCATTACATTTTGACAACCTGATTAGCATGTAACTACATTACTTGAACTCAAGCTGAGATGAAGATATATTTTGTACTAGTTTGAAATTATGTGCTAAGGGTTTTGTGATTCAAGTGCTGTCTTCAATTTACTAAGATTTGAAGGGCTGCATTTCCAGAGGGTTACCACAGATGATCCTACATATAGAAGCACAAGAAAGTCTACTAAAAATTTACGCAGAGACAATGTCTGTTCATGCATGTTCAAATGATCATGCAGTACATGTCATGCTAATTGGTCCCAACTGCTACAATATTAATTCCGGGAGTTTTGTTATTATTAATTTTTTAAGAATATGGTTATTAACCTGGCAAAGAGGTGGAAACACACACTCTGGCCATCAGTTTGAGGGAATTTTGTTTTAATAAAGCACAAAACTTTTGCTGGAAACTGCAATTTGTAACTGAAAATAGAACCACATGGTAAATTCAGTGAGATTTTTACAATCAATCTATGATTCAAATGTACATGTTTGTGGTGACAAATTAGGACCCTGAGGAGAAATGTGAGAAAAACTTTTATGTTTTGCACTTGGAAACTACAGCTTTGTTGAGAAACCTGTCAAACTAGTTTAGTGCAGAACTGTACTTTCTTCCTATGCCGTGACTTATTTTGTTTGTTTTACTTTCACAGCTAAGGTTTGACAAATAGTAAGTAGTTCAGTAAGGCAGAGGATTATTTGTACATACGCTAAGAATATCCTTTTGATTTGGAGAGTGAGTTATTGATCCCTGCAAGAAAAGAACGATTTTCACAGTTTTGTGAGGGCTATAAGCACATCTTTAAAACTTTAGCCTTAGGGTAAGAACTAGGAGAAAATTAAAGCAGTTTCTGAAATACTTCACCAACCATCTCCTAGAAAATGACCCAATCTGCTTGATTATTGGAAAAGACAAACTCCTTAATGGCTAGCATCAGCTGAAGCTGGTTCAGGACGTGCTTTGGCTGTTGCTGCTAAAAATTCCTTTTTTGAAGAGATGTGTGAATGGTCATTAAGCAGGAGTATCAACAAAGGAAATGCACTAAACATAAAGACAGTGTGATTAAAAAGATATTTCTAGAATGTAATTCTGCTGACAGTGACATGAAGAGTTGCATATTTTTGTTCATCTTATTAAGGTTTGAATTTCCTTTTATTTTTCTATGCAGACTATTATTTAGAGAGAAAAGAAAAGCTCTTAAAATCCCCAACTGTTTTCTCAGTTTGGTAAGTTACTGTGTGCACAATAGAGTGCTGCGAAATGATCTGTGAAATCTGGCTGGGTATGAGGCAGAGCATTCATTCTTTCTAGAAACGTCTTCCGTAAACTGCAACAAAAGGAAATTGCATCATGCATTAAAAAAATCTGTACACTAAGATGTCCATTTCACCTCCCCCAGTCTGTGCTTAAAATAGTAATAACAACCTTGGTGCAGGGCATTTCCTGGCGATTAATAACTGGCCAGGGTTAATGGGCCTCAGCAGTGCCTCGGGCCATCAACTCCTCCCAGCCAGTCATTACTGCCTGGGAAATGCCCTTTTCTGGGTAGTTATTGTTTTAGTATTAGGATGTAGAAGTTGCCATTGGATGGGGAGAAAACGACCTTGTGGCAATGTTAAAAAGTAAACCCCCAAATGGCAAAATTTTAAAATTATTAATAGTCAATGATCCATCAAAATTAAAATCTAAAGTTTGTAAGAATGACAAAATTCTGCTAGCCTTGTTACCTGTGCAAAACATTTATCGCCCAAATACTTCTCCCCAATTTCCATTTCATGTTTGTCATATGCAATTGGGTAAATTACAAAATTTGATCTTTTAAAATGCACAGTAGCTTTGACATTCATTTATACTAGCTGTGATATGTTTTAGTCCTTTATGAGGCGCTGAGTGTATGATTTAGATAATTCTGCTTTTTCTCTTTTATGTAATGTATATTACAATAATAATAAGAAAGCAAATTTATACCTGATAAAAGTAGTAAGTGTATGCTGTTCCTGTAGCCCATATTCTGCACTTAATTTCTGTGATGTGGTTTACATTTTAGGCATTCTGCTAGAGCTCTAATGAAGAAAAATACGAAGGCTAGGTCTATATTTAAAAGTCTTGCTCACATACTTATGTAGGCTAGGAATACTAAAAATAAAATCGCATCTAACTGCTGTCCTGGCAGAACCCTAGTGTAGATGCAGTTATACCATCAAACAGTTTATTTTTGTTCAGAGGCAAGTAAAGAGTTTACTTTACTGATATGAACTCCGTCAATAGTAGGAGAGCTGGCTCTATGCAGACGTGTTCTAGCTTAGACAAGGAAGGCAGCGGCACATGCTTGAATTTATCACAATTGGAGCCAGCTCTTCAGTCTGATTGACAGCAGCTGGACTATATCCCAGCCTCCTGTGCTTTCTGGGGAGGGGGGCTATGGAAAGATCTCAAATTCAGAGCGATATGTGGGAATAAAGTGTTCCAAGATGGTTTTTTTCCTTATCCAGTGAGAGGAACATGTAGATTAGCAGAATTCTTAGTGAGCTCTGAACTGATCTTAATCTACACACTCAACACTGCTGATAGCTTCTGAACTTTTTATGCACGTTGAGTTTAAGAACTATGATCACTTACATAGTCTTCTTCACCAAACTTCTCATATCTGTCACATTTCCATATTCTAGATCTCAGTTCATCCTGCTTTTATATTTTAATTCCTTTTTTATGTTCTGGTTGAAACTAATGAACTGTACTTGCTATTAAGGTTAAGTAACAACTGCTAAACATGCAAAATTAGGTAGCCAGCAGGACCCAAAAAACAAAACTCTTTCTCTCTTCATATAGTATCAGTCTGATATACTGTTATGTGAACACAGACAGGCCAACAAATTACCGTGGGATAGCAAATTACTGTGTGTCAGGATGGTAACTACCCGTGTGCATATTTGTAACTTGCAGCAAATACAAGCTGATTCAAGTTAATATGAATTTCTTTAATTTTGGATGTAGCAAACTGGATGTACCTTGTATTTTATGGCGTTTGAAAGAGCACTGAAGCAGTCGATTGCTGCAGATGTGCCGATTGCTGGTGACTCATTAATCAGCAGTAACTTGTTTGTGCCTATCTTGTGGGGATGGTATATTCTTTTAATTGTTAAAGGATAAATGTGACAGTAAGTACTTATTTTCTGAACACTTAAACCCAAATAAGTATTTTAAAGGCTTCTTTCCAGGAGACATAAATACATCCTTTGTTATAAGCCACGTAAGTTGAATGTAAGCTCTAAGAAACAAAGAAAGTACTTTTCTACCGTATTTCCTGCTGCTGCACCTCTCAGTCTCACAACTCCCAGGAAGAATGCTTTTTCGCTGGTTTATTTTCACATCTTTCTCATATTTTTTAAGCTCAGGGTTTCATTTCAAGTTTTATTTTCTTTTAATTCTCTTCATGATTAACATTTTTGTTATAAAATTCCAGTTATGTTGATTGTTTCTGTCTGTACAGCTAGTTGAGGTCTTATGTTTGGAAAAAAATTATATTGAAACACTATCCCTAAATTTCAGGGTAGCGTTTCTAAAAATCTGTGGCGCTTTTCTTGCAGTGTAAGAATCTGATAGACTTACTCTTAGCCACACTGTTCTTGGCCACCTAGCCATTTATGAGAGATATACCTCCATATTAAAATCTGAATACACTTGCAGAATGTTTCATTTAAGTTATCTACAGCTCAGGTGAGAGTATCTAGAGGTTGTGTGAATTTTATAGGTACCCCAAATTCTTGCCTGTGAGCAGTATGTGCATCTCAAGGTAAAGGGTGGGCATTAAAAATGGATGAGTCACATTTGCATTCTCTTAATGTTGTACTGTTGGCACCCCTCTGGTTCTTAGAAGGGCTTCTGCCTTTGATTCTGCCAGAGGCATCCACGTTTCACCCGATTTATTTCCAGTTTATCTTTTTGGGAGCACACATACTCGCTGCTGGGTCATTGATAAAATCTCTCTAACATTAGATGGCCATTGGTCTTACAGTGCTTTCATTTGAATGAGACTATAATCCTATAGACTATTCAATGCATTTTAATTTTGAAATGTCCAATCACATAGCAGTATGCTGAACAAGTTAGATGATAACAATTTTATTAAACATCCAAATATTTAGTGAAAATAGTAAGGCCTCTTTCAGTTTCTCAGCATCTTCAGATAAGCTTCCCTAAAAGATGAAGAGGTGGGTGGAACTGGCAGTTGAGGAGGAAAGATTAGTCAGAAAGTAGCTGCCAACTTTCAGCCCTTAATTTTGTATCTTCTTTGCTGCTGGAGTGTAGCCAAAAAACTACTTGGGTCATCAGAGATAACAGCTAGCTACTTAAGTAAAATATAATGTCTGCATATAAAAAAAAAAGGCTACCCACTCATGAGATTTTCTGATCATATCTCAGATGGGAGCATTGAAGACCTGCCATCATGAGGTTCGGTGCATAGTGGCACTGTTTGCTGAATTTTCCGCCCAGCTACGAGGTACCAGGGGATAATAGGAAGGGTATATGAAGAGATCAAGTTCAACAGAAAACATGGATTTTCATCTTCACTTCTTGAAAAGTTCTGTGCCTGACAGAAAGTAGAGTTTCTTTCTTTGCTAAGGGACAATTTTAATATAATTTTCATTATAGAAGTATTTATATATGAAACATCTTTTTCAAATGAAAATATTTCTTTATTTTTAAAAGTTTTTGTATAGTCCACAAAGCATGTTTCTTGCTTGCCTCATTTTCTTATCTTCTCTCTTCTCCCTTTTAAAAATTCCTGAAATATATTACTGGCAAGAAGCTATCGAGTGCTAATTTATTGCTAATCATTTGAAAAGCACAACAAGAATTTATTTTGTATAAGAAATGCTACTGTTGATACAGGTTTATTGTTAAATGAGCCTAGGGCTCCCATTAACATGGGCCTAACAAGAAACAGTGGTCTTCCACCAGGTCAGGAGCACTCTTGTTCGTTTGGAGAGGAGCAAGCTGGGTAGCAATCAATGAATGTATGTGAGTGCATCTGGAATTTGGCTTTTTGCAGTTTGAGATTTGTGCATTGTGTGTGAGGGACGTGGATGGCATGTTGTAGTTGTGGAGACGGCCTTGCTGCTGGGCTGTGGGTCTGATCTGTCTCTCAATAACAACCGAGTCTTAGTAAAAAGCAAAGCTGTACAAGCTGAGATAGTGGCAGAAAAAGTAGAACTGAAGACTGTGTTTGCTTTAGTACATGGTGAACGGGGAGAGCAAAATCTAAAGGTAGGTAACAGTGAAGAAAAACATACACACTGGCCCTGCAAGATCACAGGAAGAGACAGCAATGAACCAGATCTCAAAAGGGAGCAGAGATGATAGCTTGAAGATTGCATGAGAGAACAGAAGGCAAAATATACAGATAAAAGACAGGTTTGAATGAATACCAGACTGCAGCAGGTTCCTGTGCCTGGGAGAACACTCGATAAGTTTAATGTCAGAATTGTTAAAGATAGGTGGCTCTCTGCTTGGTGCAAGGATATGAAGTGATCATGAAGAGAATGAGGCAAGAATACTTGTTGATCATGTGTGTTTTTGCAGGGAGGGTTCATACAAAAATTCAGGTTAGCAGGGACCTCAGGAGGTGAGGTGAGCTAGTCCAACCTTCTGCTCAAAGTAAATTGGTTATGAAATCAGACCATTCAGAGAAAATTGTACAGATTTGGAGAGGATGCCCAAAGAAGTGGAAACTTAAGTGTTCTTCAAAAGAATCATTCTAGTGTCTGGAGGAGGAAGGCAAAGGTATCACAAGAAAATGAAGATCAATAGATAGAACAATTATTATTATGTCACTGTGTGCTTTGTAGCTTTCTACCATCCTTTCATCCATGCTTTCCAACAGGAAAATAACCCAGAAAAACTTTTTGTAAGTGATCCTCAGTGAAGTTCTGGTGGGGATGGATCCCACTCGTCCTGCTCTGGCCATTGAAAAGATCCCGTGTTTCCAGCCCTGTGAACATTTGCAGATTGTCTCCTTCCATGAGGTAAACCTGTCCCATTAATCAGGCAGGTTTTGGAGTGTGAGGAAGCTCTCTTCTTTGTGAAGTCCGATACATAGACCAGACAGCAAAGAACAGCGTTAGGGGACTGATAGGATTCCCCCATGCAGCTGGCGTGTAAAGCCCTCAGATAATTTCCTGAAGAAAGGACAAGCCTTATAGCCTTGTTCCCGCATACCTTCTTAATGACCATACCCTCATCTATCAGAACAGCCTAACCTAAGAGCTGTTTGTGCAAAATCAGGTAAATTATCAGTGCTTTTCAATATATCACTACGAGGCTAATGGTGCACAGAGAGAGAGTGGGTGAGTTGTGGAGGATGCAACCAGGCTGACAAAATCACTTACTCCTCCCAAGCATTGCTTTGGCACCAGCAACGTCACATGATGTAGATCGCAGGGCTCTAAAGCGCAAAAGGGAAGGGTTTTCCTCCCTCCTCTCTGAGCTACATTTTTCTCCTCTACCGGCACCGATATACTGCTAGTTTTCTTGAGCCTTCGAATCCAAGGAAGTGAATTAAAAGAAGCCCTGGGGGTGATGGAACAAGGGAAGAGATAGGATTTTTCGGGGATGCAGAGAGACAAATTTGACCGGGGAATTGCTAGCTGACTGAATGCAGGAGTTAGGGAACTCTGACAAACTTATTCAGTTTGCATTTTGTCTCTTTTTATTTTCTACTGAATTTGTTTTCTAATAAGTTAAGCAGCTTTGCTGCTAATACAGGAAATATATCTGTGTATCTAGAAGCAGCCAGGGACTGGAAGGGATCTAGGGTTCCTTTCAGTCAATGGCTGCTCATTCCCTCCATAGGAGCAGCCTACAGCCCTTGAACATATTTGTCTCCAGTTGGCTTCCCCTCTCAGAGGGGCACCCTGCAGAGAGTTGCCTGTGCTATTGTGAGAATAAACAGTAGCAATTAGCAAGGTGCTCGAAGAACTGTGTTAAATCGGACTGTATGTATACCAGGGCAGGTAATTTGATGAGAGAAAAATTTCTAAAGGTGGAGGAAAAAATCCACAAATTTGTGTTACCTTTTGCCAGCCTTGTTTTCTATATGTGGTCTTAAGAATCAATGATGTGTCAGCACCCTGGTGTAAAGCTTTTGCTACAGGTCATAGCATGTGTCTGAAATATCGTAGAATTAGATATATCCTTTTTCTGTTAGCTTCTCCAATACTGTATTGGCCTCCTCTGCTTTCTCTTTGTATTAAGTCAGCGTGGAACGTACAGAAATACAGCAGGGGCATGGCAGATCCACAAGGGCTTGCAGGTATTGTTTGCAAGGAGTACTACTGAAAATGAGTATCTGTCTTCACTCTTCTCTTGGATTCAGCCTTTGTTAACTTATGTCTTTTCCTTTTAGTAATGCTGATTTCCATTCACCCATGTATTCATTTTCACTCATTACCAAAAAGGCTAAAGGTTGAACTTGGATAGGTTTCCTATGCAAAATAAAATCCCAAAGATTCTATCAAATTCCCGGGAAGTCTTCAGCTACATGGGTAATTTTCAATGGAATTTGGAGGGTTTACCTGAAGCGCTGAAATTTTCAACAGTCATCATAAAATGAACATACTTTTTCTAATCATGTAAAGTATTTGAGTTTCCCTCAAGTGTTTTGTACAAGTGCTATATTTTCTTTCATTAAACATCTGTTTTGGGGAAATCCTGTTCCATGGTCTCTTTTTCAGTCTTCAGGAATTACCATGTCTTAATTAGAGTGCCTTGAAGCATGGGAGGTACAGGTGCATCAGAAGGTCTCTTCTTTTTCTGTCCATTCATTTTGCTTTCAGTCGTATTCTAAGTTGGTAGGACTCTCATGAAATGTTTGAATGGAAAGTTAACTTTTCATTTATTCACACTTTCCATGTGCATGATCTCTGCCTACACATTTATGTGTACAAGCAGGGCTAAGGGCATGGTAGCTCAACTCCTGCCCTGATAGCGGCTGATAGAATGCCGAATTTCACGTGGCAGAGGAGCAGTTACAACACCAAGCTGTTCCCTCGTTTTCCTACAGGTGTAGCCAGTCCTAAAGAGCAATCTGTTTAGTTTCGTGCTCCCATCAAAGCCACAGCATTCTGTTACTTTACAAAGAAATGGGTTTGTTCATAACCCTTGGTTTTTATTTGTCTGAGGACATTAGATCCTAACAACTCTAGACCCTAATTTGAAGCTGCAGCCCAGTGTACTCACTGTCATCCATCAAATAATCTCATTAAATAGATGGAATCTCAATGATAGAAGTAGAGTCATCATACAAAAATAACTGCCTTTGAAAACAAGCGTCTCCGTTTAGCCTGAGAAGAGAACCTTTGGTGTTTCCTGTTCGTGATGATTTTGTGTGTGTGGTAGGGTGAGCAAATGCTAATATTTTCAACCTCCTATCATCAGCTTCTCTAGACTTATTTATGTGCTGATAATGTTCAGCCTGTTTTTGTGTCGATCTGTTGTATCTCTCTTTCTCTTCACTTTGAAAACCAAACCAGAGATCTCAACATAAGGTAATAAGGTAAAGACAGGGCTTTATTCAGAAGGTTTGCTACACAAGGACAGCAACATAATAAACATTCTAATATTCCCTACTTGTCTTATTTTCATTTACTCAAATTATCTTAAATGTATTTTAATGCAAGTTAAGAAGGAAAACAGTGGATGGTTAGAGATTGTTAAATTCTCCACTCCCTGAAAAAAGAGAGAAGAGAAGCAGAATTATAGGTCAGCAATGTCAAGACATTCCGCATTACTTTATCATCATGCAGAATCTTTTTATTAAGGCAGCATAGAAAGAATAGATTTATGGACTGAAGGTACAATGTTTAATATGTCCATATCCATCTAGATTGACAGTTCCTACCGACATGAATTTCCCAGGGGAGACAGTGTTACTGGTGTCAGTGGATGGCATCATTTACTTCAATGTTCCATTATTAAATTGATAACAAGATAATTCCTCTGCTTCTCAGAGACATGACAGGGTTTACAATTGTTAACTTTCTTATTGCATGGGATTTGGTGTTCTAGGTAGTTTTTAATAAGAAGCTTATTTTTATTTCAGTTCTGCAACAAATCAAAAATTACAACAAGAAAGTACAGAAAAAGAGAAACCTGGTTGGGTCTACATGGCATCAAAATCAGGCTGGTTTCTAGAGGGTTATTTTGACAACAGTAAGTCTTTGTGCTCCCATTGTTTTTCAGTACTGCACATTTAAGCGTGTTTGTGCAATACGGGATATTTGCTGCAGTCGTACTCTGACCTTGTGAGGTGGGTGTTAGAAATGTTCTGTACATCGGTAATTCTGGCTGGGTGATTTTGAGGAGGATCATTTCATCAGCCAGCGGCCATTTGGAAAAGCAGAGGACTGCCGCAAGTGACGCTGAGTGTCAGTAAGCCTCCAAGAATATTTCTGCTGGCGAGATGTGGCATAGCTGTGACTTGTCCTGAACCTGACGTTGTGCAAGAGGCAGGGTTACAGAGGCAGGCTAGTTGTGCAAGTGTCGATAAGGTGGAAAATCTTTACCAACCCAAAAAGTCCTGTGGTGCTGCTATTTATTCCCTTGCTACTCGCTCTTTGCTACTGAGACTGCATCTAAGAGCTATTGGGTAGGGCAGAATCTGGTCTATGGTCCGAATGTTTCGTTCTTTCATGTGTGAAAAAACAATGAGAACTCTATATGCAGCACGTATGTTTTTCAGTTAGATATTTACAAGGTTGTTTATCGTGTCATTGAAGGAGTGCTCAGTAAACTGTTCTTTATTAGCTTTTCACCAGGCACCTGGTGGACCACATGCTCTTGTAGCTACACGTGTGCAGGACCTTCAGGAAATGCTCCGAGTGTGTCGGCTTGTTGCAGTGTGTGGGTGAGAGATGGTGTTGGTCAGAACTGAGTGCACGTACCCCTCATTCAGACAGAAGGGGGATTTTAATGCTGTGAAATAATGGTTCAGCTGCCAAGAAGTTCTCCTGTCCTAATGTGCTCGTCTTTTGCAATGGCGAGTGATGAACTAAATATGTTATTTTTGCCATTGTTTTAGAAAGACTGTATCTTCAGTGCCGAGCCACTTCCTAGTAAAAGCTTCCTGAGGAATGTTGTTTAAAAACGTTTGGGTTTGCTCAGACTAAGCAGGTCATGTGGCAAGGCTATACTGTGTTGTTTGGGAAGAGGAAACATGTCTTGAAAGGAAGATTCAGGTCTTTCCCTCTGGCCCAAGCACAAATGCCTTC